TCCCCAAAGGCTTTCTTGATGGTAAGAGAAAATCTAAATATAATGTACTTATAGCAAGGACAAATAAATAAATAAATAAATATTATAAATACAACTTAATGACGCACTACTATTAATGGATTATTAAAATGACAAACCCAGAAGAAATTGGATTTAATTAAGGTTTCGACTAAATAAATGCAATAATATATGAGATAGAATTAGTTGAATTTTGTGAAATTAATTAGTTTTATTGCCAACATCTGTTTTAAATAAGATAAATCAACACCAGGGGCTTGTGGCCAACTTTAGTGATTCACCAGTTGTAAACTACAGTGACTCAGAACCTTATTATTTCCTGCTTAAACTATTCTAGATGAGGTTCCCCTTGAAGACAACTTACAAGCCATAGCTGGCACAGAATGTGGCTATCTGATTTGGGTTAACTGGTATAGTAGAATGATTATTATACTGCAAAAGCTAAAATGGTTGTTGCTTTGCTTCCAGGCTCTAATCAAGATGCTGATTATCACTTCTAGAGCTGTTTATGGCGCAGATCCTTGTTATATTCAGGACCTTCAGCTTCATGTGGAATATGCCCCCTTTGATGTGTGTGTGTGTGTGTGTGTGTGTGTGTGCGCGCGCACACACACACACACACACACAGAAAATTCTCCGGGTCCCAAGTAATGGAAAATACATATAAGACCTTCTGCAATTGTATTTCTGATTTGATAAAGTTTGTCCCTCTTTCTCCCATCATTACAATTAAGGCTTCATTTTTTTCAGGGAGCTCTCAGAAAGGACATTGCTATGTAGGTAGATTGCATTTTAATGGGGCTTGATGAACATGTTTTTATAATGGTATTGCATTAATTGGTTTATTTATTTTATTGTTTTATTATTATAAACCATGTAGAATTAATTCAAATAAATGTAAATAAGCATAAATTAATAAACAGATTCTGCATCAATGTTCAGTATAGTATTAGAATGAAATAAAGAAAATAAATACATAAAAGGAAACGGGAAGCAAGATATTACCTATTAAACTGGTTACTTCCAGGTGCAGACTGTAGAATAGATCATGAGTTATTAGTATCAAATACACAATTTGAACAAAAAAATAAATTATATATGTCCATGAATGGCAATAATTGACAGGCAGACGCTCACATACTTGGGCATGTAATGGAAGTGAATGATGGATTGGAAAAAATGACAATACTTGACTAGGCTGAAAAAAGGAGAAGAAGGGAGAGGGGGGGGGCAAGGTAGACAGGATCAGAGATATTACTGGATCGTCCCAGGAAAAGCTGAGACTAGCAGCAAGTTGAAATGAATGGTAATTGTTCATATTAATTAATATTGAGTTTGGCCCAACTCCATAATAATTAATCAACCATCCAAGCTATCAAGTAACCAGCCAGCCAGGAACTGTGCTAAGATTTGGAGTTACTGCAAGTTGGGCTAATTAGAAGGAAATGATAAAATTTCCATTGATCTGGAAGTCAATGTAATGTATTTCTTATAACCTTCAAGCATTACCATATATGTGAGTTTTATTTTAGAACTATGCACTACTTTGGATTCTGTTTCCAAAGTTTGCTTCAAAGCATGCAGATAACACAATTTGGGAAAGTGCACAGCAACTTTAAGATGTTGCAAATGATTACCATATTAATTCATTTATTTTGCTTCAAAATACCCTCTGGTCCGTGAATCCAAAATGTTGCACAGGATAACATATAAGATATAAGACATAATGGATTTACTAGATCAGAGCATTAAAAACAGGAGAAACATGTGATTTTGACTTTTAAAGTATTTTAATCTAAAAATGTTACATTGAATCTGTATGTCTTTTCAAGCATTATATTTGAAGTATGCAAAGTATATTGAACAAGTCATATATGGATATACAAAATAGCAAGCTTTAGTTTCAAAATCTCTGTTCTTCAGACAATTTCTGGAATGCTGGGGTCAAGCACTATAGTCCTTTACCACATCTATTTTCAGTTTAACCAGAAAAATGAACTTTCTAGAAAGTCACCGGGAAAATAGGCTAAAAGCAAGCATATTTTCTGGGCAAATCATGAAATGCTTTTGTTATATTCACAAAGGTCTTATCTCAATGCAAAACACAAAGTAAAAATGAACATATGTACTTTGAAAAAATAGCCAAGAGCATATGTTTGTTTTCACACCATCGCATCCATTGAAAATTTCTAGAATTTTTTTGTTTCACAAATGTTTTACAAATGTTATACTATATATTATAGTGGCATTCCTGTCCATTGTTTTTTTTATTTTATGTATCTACATCGTTCAATAAATACATTGTTTCTTGGACACTTAACAAATATAAAAAAACCCAGAAACTTAGGAACTGAATTAAGTACTTTGAAAAAGAATTTTACCTTGGGATATGACAGCTCACTTAACAACTATTCAAAATTACAAGGATGCCCCAGATTACATACAAACCTTTTCAAAATTATGACGGTTGCATCCTCACAGTCATTCACCCTTACGTTTGACCAAGGGGATACTGCAGTGTCCACCTCCTTTCTCCCCATCCCATCTTCCCAGGACTCTGAAGTGCTTAGGCCTGCTTCCCATGCCTCCTGGAAGCAGACACCATTTTCAACTGGAAATCTCAAAACGGTTTGCCCCAGTCAGCTGGCCATCAGGAGAAAGCTCCGAAAGACTAGAGAACTGGTTTCTATTTAGTTCCAGGAAGGCAGAAGTAGATTGGCAGGAAATGGACAGTGGCAGAAACAGAAAAGCAGGGACGCCCAGCATTTTCCTTCCCAAGTGTTTCTCACTGACAAGATAGTCAACTATGAAGTGAGCATGCATACAAATTAGTAGGAGGATTGGGGAAGTGCAAGCTTCTTTTCCTTAGGCTGTTCCTCTTTTGCTTTTGGAAGCAAGTACCATTTTGAAGGACCCATAATTCATTTCAGCTACTCTGAAAAGGGCTTCCGGCACAGCCATGCAATCTAGGGACACTAAGGGATAGAACAGCTTGGTTTCATTCCGAATATGACAGAGCTTCCAGAACATGATTTACATTAAAAGGTAAGGGAGTGATCAGTGGGAAAGGGCATGTAGGATTCCAGTGGGAAGGAAGCAAAACATGGGGTAACTCAGGGGGTAGGAGAGGCCTTGGGCTTGTACCTGCATTAGGCCTTCAGAATCTCCTCCATCCCTGAGGCACCCCATACTCCACTTAATGACCAACATGTTCATTTAAGAATTGTACTGGGGAAACCAGAGATCAATGGTTGTTACTTGAGGCAATTCATTTAACATTTGTCCCAGCTTAGACTGTAGTGGGCTGACTTGCAACCAAAATGGGCAGGCATTATGGTTATAACTTGAAGACTACCTTTATTGTAAAGTATTAGAATATTATCGTTTTAACTTTTCTAATTTAGGTTTTAAATTACTTTATAATTATTATTGTAACTGAAACTGAATTGAAGTTTTATAATACTTAAACTATTAGATAAATCAATCAATCAGTTGAGTTACTGTATTACATGATAATCTTGGACAGTTATACTTAAGCAATTAAAACACTTTAGATTTCATTATTTGAAATAATTGAAATAAGTTAATTTAAAAATATTACCATACTGAAGAAACATTCAATGTAGTAATACTATATTCTTAATCATATTAATTTTATGATACTATTAATGCTTAAGATATGTGCCATATTAGTTTCCTGTTGGACAAAAAACATGAAATTGAAATATTTAACTAATAGTTTGGTAAAATAATAAAAACAAAAACAAATGTTGCTGAAAGATCACTTCAGTTTAAGTATTTCTACTTTGTTAATCTACACACACACACACACACACACACACACACACACACACACACATTATCTTTTTCTCTCAGATAAAATCCATCTGCAAATTATGCTATTGTAACAGATTGTACTCTTAACAGCCTCGGAAATAAATGACTGCAACTACCAGCACAGGGTGTGGCAATTGCTCTTTCTGTGCATTGCTTTCCAAGGCACACTGAATAAATATGAAACATTTCAGGATGAACTGAGCTGTCTCAAATGATTCCAACAATTCAACATAGCCAAGAAAAGAGAACCTGTTTTAGAAAAGTTAGGAAAGTCTGCCAGGCAAGTTGTTTATAGAACTTAGCTATAAAAGATTCTGCTTTCTTTATAGGGTAATCTGAAAACTGAGTCTAAAACAGTGTTTCTCAACCTTGGCAACTTTACAATGTGTGGACTTCAACTCCCAAAATTTTCCAGCTAGCAATGCTAGCTGGAGAATTCTGGGAATTGAAGTCCACACATCGTAAAGTTGCCAAGGTTGAGAAACACTGGTCTAAAAGATTATGAATCAATTGGATCATTTTAACTTTTATAAACCTATTAAACTTGCAGCATATAGATAGAATTTCACTACCCTAAACCTATACTAGTCTAATCCTAATTATTATACTCTGAGAGATTCAAGCAAGTGGCTAACCTAAATTTCATCCCCTTTCTCCAAACTAGTTACTGGCTGTATTGTCTTTTGTCTCCCCCACCTTGGAATGTGCTCCCTCCTGCCTGGAAAACTGCTGCTTCACTGTATCCATCACACTACTTTCCTTCTTCATAGATCCAATCCATTGCATTTCCTTATATAAAAAATGGGCAGGGTTTGTTGTACAGCAATCAAATTTTAGTGCTCAGTTACTCAGGATGCAAGTTAGACTGGGAAGTGGTAAGAACATCCTGTAAGAAAGCTGTGTATTGTTGCCAAGAAAGCAGGATGGACACGGCCACAAAGTTGCAATTTAAATACACATGGAAAATTAGAATTTGATAACTCTATTGTTATTGCAATATTTATTTAAATTGCATGGCTAACTTAAATAAAGAAAACCAATGGGTTTCAGAAATGTAATAAATTCTAGGGGCTTTCCGTTCATGATTTTCCATTCATATTTTATTATTTTACAAGCATTTTCTATCAACTTACTTATCAACTTACTTTTTTAATAAGGTCTGGTATTTTTGATTTATCTGAAAGTTGGTCTGAGAAGAAACAACTTTCAATCTCCAAAGAATTCCATTCATTGACAGGCTCCCTTTGTAAAGGTCTGAAAAAGAAAAGATGTCTCAATTATATCATAGCACTAAAATATCACCTTTTATGTAAAGTTTGTAATATAATGTATATCTTAAATTGATTCTAATTCCTACAGTAAACATTTTACAGGGTATCAAATCATACAACAGGAAAGTATAAAAATTTATAGATTTCCAATAACAATAAATAAGTGACTGTAGTTTTGAAGCAGAATTTAATGTATTTGAAAAACACACAATCCTTACTTTTACTAAGTATCACAAAATATGGATTTACAACTTTATCTAATTTACATATAATTCAACCATTTTCCAACCTCATATTAAACTTTCTCACATATTTTAAATTACCACTCTTAGTAAAATATTGGCTTGTTTCTACATACTGTCTTAAATCCAGTTGTGCATTTTTATATCTGATTTTTAAATAATTTAATTTCTTTTTTTATTTTAGATCAACAAAACAAAACAAAACACAACAAACATTACACACATACACACATAATATATCCTTTTTTGTTAACAGCAGTTTGTAACAGTACTCTTCTATTCTTTACATTTCCCCCCTCTTTCTTCTTTGAAATATTTGTCCTTATTGCCCCATTGTTTCTTACTTACATTTTCCTTCTTTCATATTCTACTACTTACTAGGAATCCAACATTATTCATTGTAGTAACACTCATATTTTTTATTTGACCGGAATTCCATCTAAGCATGGTGATCATACAAATATTCTCATATTATTAGTGCTTATACTGTTTTTACTCTAATACTATTTCCAATATTAAAATTTACCCCTTTTCATCCAAGTATATTTATTTAATTTTATTTTTCTTTGACATATATAATAATTCCTCCTTTCTTGTTTTATGCTAATATTGTGTATAATGTTTCTAAATTTTACTTTCTCTAGTAATTTTCTATAATCCTATTTTATGTAAACTTCCTAAAGATACATCACATCTACATCCAATTTCCTTAAATTGTTAAACGTCTAAACTCTTTTTCTTGATATATTTAATCCATTAATATTTATAGAAAAGAGCTTAATTACGTCTCCCATTTTTAACTTGATCTATTTTTTTTGTTTTTATTTTGTTTTATACTTCTTGTCTCTATAAGTCTTCTTTTTGCTTCTCTTTCTAACCTTTCTCTTTCTTGTAACTTTTGTATTTCTCGCTCTCGATCAACTTCCTCTAATAGATCTTCATCATAACTTTTATTCTCCGACTCTTCCCTACTTTCTTGTTCTTCTCCTTGTGAAAAGTAACTCTCATAAAAGTCCTGTGCTTTCTCAAGTGTATCTATCTTGTATTTTTTATCCTGCCAAGTTAAAAGTATGCCTTCAGGTATTAACCAACGAAACTTGACTTTATATTTAATTAATTGAGTCATTAAAAAATGGTATTCTCGTCTCTGATTTCGTATACTACATGGTATTTGTTTTAATACAATTATTTCTTTACCTTTATACATTTAAATAATTTAATTTCTTGATCTAATAGACAGTTCTAATCTGAATGAAAACTACATGTTGTTCTTGAGCCCAAATAGTAATTAAATATTAGCTAAATAGGAGGCAGAGTAAAATATAATCTTCTGAGTTTTCCAACCATATCATTCAAATATATGCATGTATATCCTTGCTAAGAAAGAGAGAGAGAGAGAGAGAGAGAGAGAGAGAGAGAGAGAGAGAGATGGATCCTATGAATGTCCTAAAGTTCTATTACATTTAGAACTATGACCAAGAGAATTAAAAAGTGAAAATGACGTCAAGACAGCCCAGGATTAAAGTATACCTATGGGACATTATGGATAGCAGCAAGCAGGCAGGAAAAGAGGTTTATCCTACCTGATCTTTTCTGTTACTAAACCTGTAGAACTACAAATTTCATGATACAACACACATTGTTTGAAAATTATAGGATACAGTAGATTCTTTTATAGCATTCAAGTGTTCATTAATTTGTTTTTCTGAAGGAAGTAGAACAAAATTGCTACTTTCATCCAATAAACAGGAGAGGGGTAAGTGGGTATTCAGAAAGGTACTTTCAGAATACTTAAAAGAACTAGGAAACATATCGGTTTCCAGAGGTAATGGATAAGAACAGCTTCTAATTAAGATAAAAATGTTTTTTCAGAGCAAAGACTTTGTTTTACTGTTGGAGCAGTTTGAATTAGTCAAAATATTCTTCAAAACTCTCTTTTAATCTGAATTGATTTAGTTTTTGTTCTCCAGAACGACACAAGACTGTCCATGCTATAATATGCCGTCCATACTGAACAATTTAATGTAAGGACAGGGATGGATAGAACTTTATTTTTTTACTTTAAAAATCTTCAAAAAAGTAATGCGTCTATTTTTTCCTTATCCCAAATTTTACTGCGATCCTCTGATTTTTGTTTAGTATTAGTACTTAATATTAATATAGTCATAATACTGATACAATAAACATTCAGCACTTACAAACCAAGTTGCTCTTTTTGGCTCATACATTCAAATACTCTGTTATATTATATTACTAGCCTCAAAGTCTCTTGGATTCTTACAAGATTTGAGTACATTTACTGATTTTGCCTGGAGGCAAAAATAATAAACATATTATGTTAGTTTACAATTTACTTTGTGTGAGATTTTTATGGGTAGCAATTGAGATTTCAGGATGAAGATTAAGTGCAGTTCAGTTTTTTAATAAGTGAGAATGTTTATTATTAATTGCCTTTGTAAGGAATGTAAGTTAATAATACAGCACACAAGTCATAGAGGGATTTTCATTTGATGATCAGATGGAAATCACCAAAGGCACCATAATTACAGTAGAATCAAGCCCCATTCTATGTCTCTGGCTTCTGATCTCAAACCAGAGACTCAATGTCATGTACTACAATGTAATGTAATCTGCTCAAATAACCTTCTTTATAAAATTGATTGGACAACCATTTGTCTGAAATGGAATAGATTTCCCGCCAGAGCAGAGGGTTGGACTAGAAGACCTCCAAGATCCCTTCCAACTCTGTTATTCTGTTAAAATGGCCTATGCCTAGATGGGTGAATATTATAATGGCAGAATGTTCCAAATATATAAATGTTAAACTGCCACGCTACTCTCAAAAGATATTAATTCTTCTTTCCTAATCTTACTTTTAAATAAATATTCTATGTAATTGGAATTGACGTTCTATAACTCTTTCATTGTTCCGTATTTCCAGTACAGATAGTCTTTGACTTATGACCACAATTGAACCCAAAATGTATGTTGTTAAGCAAGACAGTTGTTTAGTGAGTTTTGCCCCATTTTACGACCTTTCTTGCTACGGTTGTTAAGTGAATCACTGCAGTTATTAAGTTAGTAACATAGAGATTAAATGAATCTGGCTTCCCTATTGACTTTGCTTGTCAGCAGATGGCAAAAAGTGATCATTATGACCCCAGGGCACTACAACTGTTATAAATATGGGTCAATTGCCAAATATCTGGATTTTGATCACATGACTATGGGGATGCAGCAATAGTTCTGCGAAAAATGGTCATGTTACTTTTTTCAGTGCTGTTGCAACTTCGAGTGGTCACTAAATGTGCTGCCCAGCTCCTCCCCCCCACATATGGCAAGAATTCTACACCCCCCTCAACAAGTCCTTCGAAATCAGCCCTGTTGCGCAGGTCTGGATTCCAAGCTCAATACAACAAGAGTCACTGAGTAACTGAGAGGGCATACATCAAGTCCAGGAAAGCAGTCCAGGAGTCAAACAGGGCAGGATACATGGCACAAGCACACAAGGCACAGAGCTGGGCCTCAGGGCAATGCCAGTGCAGCCCTTCATGAGAGGTGAGGTTGCTGACTGGCATTGTGCCTGTCTTCTCCCTGCTCTATGTGTCTTTGGATCAGGAAGAAATGTGGACGCTACCTCCTCCTTATTGCTAATAGGTAGCAGCTGCTCCTGGTTCTCGCCTGGAACCTCCTGCAGCTCATTTTCCTCAGCCTTAACCTGCGGAGTGACATGATAGCAGTGTTCCAAGATCTCACGGAATCAAGCTATTCTCCAAAGCACCTGAAGGCAGGACAAGAAGTAATCAAAGAGAGAAGCAACCTAGAACTAAGGAGAAGTTTCCTGACAGAACAATTAATCAGTGGAACAACTTGCCTCCAGAAGTTGTGAATGCTCCAACACTGGAAGTTTTTAAGAAGAAACTGGACAACCATTTGCTGAAATGATATAAGGTTTCCTGCCTGAGCAGAGGGCTGGACTAGAAGACCTCCAAGGCCCCTTCCAAATCTATTATTATTATTGTTGTTGTTGTTGTTTAATTGAAGAAGATATGTTAAACACACAAAAGTGATTATCTGATAATCAAAAAAACAAGATTGCCAAGATATTTCTCTGAAACCATAAATGACCTTTTTATTATTTTTGTTTCCTTCTTAGTGATATACTTCTTCCTCATGTTTTTATTCTAGCAATATGCCTGAAGTGAATCAAATTGTAAAAGAGACAGGCCCTCTAATAAGCTACTGCCACCTAGCAATTATGCTTTTGCTCAGGGCTTTCTGAAAGTGTGAATCAGTGTGAATCTGTTCTGTCATGTGAGAATCACTGAGAACAAGCAGTCCCTCGTGAAAATTCGTATCTACAACCTCTTTATACCTGTCACCAACAAATTTTTTTTTATAATTCTGAAACTTCTTCATCAACCTTTGATATGTATTTCATAATTAAAAAAAAATCTTGGATTTTCATCAGTTCATTTCAAGGCCTTATGTGCGTATCAGGCATTATTTCTTATTATACAGAAAGCATTGGAAACACAAGGTGATAATGAGATTGTTTGGCTGGAGACCTTGGTGATTTTATATTTGTGTGGGAGAGTCTGTATGTGAAATATTGAAGTATAAAAGCAAGATTGTCTGTAATTCAGTCTCCTTTGTTCATGAACAAAGTTTCATAGAGCATTAAATGCCAAATGGTGTACTAATAATATGATTATTCTAAGATAACAATAAAATTAAGAAA